AAAAAAAAACATTGATATGTTGATCCATATGAAACACACAACAAAACACATTGCAGTTACAACAGGGAAGACTCTCCTGGCCGAAAATGAGAGGCATCAAGCCAAAGTCAGAAGAAGTATCTCAAAAACATTGAAGCATGCATAATGAAAGCCTTATTATATCTATATGACTCACCAAGAGGAAGGGTGTAAGAATGAAGCAGAAACTAAATACAAAAATGAATTCTACAGTTCATTTAGACTTTTGTGCCCTAAAACTGGAAACTCTGGAAAATTGATTTTGCTCTCGCCCGTTATAAAATAACAAGCAGCCACCACATCAGGGGAAGCTGGAAGTATCATATCTACCAGACTATTAACACGGCTCCCATGAGTCGATGGTATCACGATGGCCTGCAGTACATAAATTTCATTTTTTTTCCATCTGAGATAAGGATGTAATGACCACTAAATAATCTTAATATTGCGAGTCAGATAAAAAGAAATGATCTATGTATCGGTAAATAGTTTCATGTTCTCAGAAAGAACTCCATTGTCCTAATTTACCATAACATAAACTTGGAAACCTATTTGTAGTTAGTAATTGTTTGTTTTCAGCTTGTCTTTTATGCAAGAAGGATATATATCTTATATAGTGTGAGACACAACTATTCTAAATTCAACAGTACGCGCAACAAAGTTCTGATTGGAACATAAAGCATCAGAGCTCCTCTCAGTAATTTGTGCACTACATCAGATCAGATTCAACAGCTAAGACTACACTCTGTTTGGCATAATTGTGTATTTGAATGCTAGGACAACAGGGAATTAATTAGCCAAGATAGAGCAAGAAAGCGAGCTCATACCTCTTACCTCCAAGTATGCAGAAATAACCATCCGACTCTGAGATTATTCCGCACAAGAATTGACTCCACTCCTTCCCCCAATCAAGCTTTATGCGCCTTCGAGTGCATAATAAAGCTTTGAAACTCTTCTCCTTAGCAGCGGCTCCAGCCGAAAGGACGATATATTCCTCTGCCATTTCTTAGCTTCGTACATCTCGTTCCAAGCCTGCACTATCTCGTCAATATTGAATCCTAAACCTGCAAACACCGGTCCAATTTCAGAAACACTGAACCAATAATAATAATAAAGAAGATAAGAAAAGTATTACCTTCCAATCCCGTCTCGTTCGAGCAGTGATTCTTGATCATGACGGCAATGTCAGTGGGGGAGGCACCCGCAAGCTCAAACTTCTCAATGGCCACCTCGAGGCACTCGTGCCAGACTGGCAGCCCCAACTTGAACTCCATCACGGACCTCTCGTACAGCATGGTCCCCCACAGCACGTATATCTGTGACCTGATATTCGAAGCCTGCTCCTCAACTTCGTCCACCGAGATCTGCTTGAACAAGCTATCCATCTTCATCTTCTGCAGCAGGACCTCAATATTGTTCTGCGAGTACCAATCGTCCAGACGCCGCTTCTCAAGCTCGTCCCACATCCGCATCCCCCTCTCCATGTTCTCCTCCGCATTGTTGTACAGCATGAGCACCTCCCCTGAAGGCCACATTTCCAGATCTACCCCTGTCCCCACAGCATAGTACCAAGAAAGCTTGGCCAGCTCAAACTGGTGCTGGCCGAGGGCTAGGACGGCCTCGTAAAACTCAGGCTTGATCTTCAGGGCCTCCTCATATCTCTCCCCTGCCAGCACAAACTGCTTTTGCGCCCACTCGTAAGCTTTCTTTACCCGCTCGAGCACAGATTCCTCCTCTTTGAAATAGACCCTCCTCCTTGCCTTGGACATGTGAACATTTCCCCAGTTAAAGAGGGCGAGAGCAGCAAGTTCCTGAAACTTGTCTTCTGCGAGACCAAACAGGTCCTGGGCCTCCTCGCTTGTGACGGTCTCCTCCATGGCCTCTGAGTAGATCTTCATCCCGACCTCGTGTAAGTCTATGTAGGCATCTATGTCAAACCCCACATAGTTGTTGAACAACTTGGCGAACTCCACGATCCAGTCGCTAATGCAGGTGACGACTTCTTTTCTTTTCAGGTTTGCTTCGGTTGGCATGTCCCTGTCCCTGTCGTAGAACGGGTCCTGTGACGGGTCGACCTCCACCACATAGAGCTTCATGGAGGTGGACGAGTCCTGGGCCCACCGTAGCTCCTCGGAGGTCGTGATCGTGACGAGGTCGCCATCCTCATCCTTGAACTTGACAACCACCGATTTTGAGCTGGGAAAACGGTCCGAGATCACTTTCCTCAGCTTCAGGATGTCACAGCTGAGAGGGATCTGGGCCCACCTTATCTCTTCCCGGAAAACTAGCTTTACGGTCCTCTTCGGAATATCATCCTCTTTACACGTGGTGGCAACTTTCTTTTCCTCAACCACCAGCTTGTCCTCGGCATCGAATTTCGACTTGTTCGCGTTTTCGGGGCTGCTGCCTTCTTCGGGCAGGGGAACCGAATCGAACATTCTCCTCAGGCGAGCCTCGATCTCGTGAGCCATGAGATTCTTGGGCTCGATCTTGAGTACTGCACGCACGTCCGAAAGGGCAAGGTCGAGCATGTCGAGGGCCTCGTAGCAGCGGGCCCGCTTGAGGAGGGCCTTGCTATACTTGGGGGTGACGTCGAGGGCAAGGGTGCATTCGTGGATGGCGTGTGGGTACTCGGATATTCCCAGCTGGATGTAGCACTCGGCCATGTTGCTCCTCAGGTAGGCTATGTCCGGGTGGGCGTCGGGGAGCAGTTTGATGGCCTTCTCGTACTTGATCAACGCCACCTCGTAGTCACGCCGCTGGAAGAGGCGGTTGCCCTCCTCCTTCAGCTCATGGGACATGGACACGAACACAGCCCTTTCACGGTCATAGCTGCTCTCGCCGCCCCCCGAACGCAGCTGACGGAGGTAGAGATCGCGCCACCTGGCCCCGCCGACACCTGGCAGGTCCCTATCCCTATCCCTATCCCTGGCCGTGTCCTTTTCCTTGGGCATCTGCTTGACGGGCCACCGGTCGTCGCTGGTGGAAGGGTCGCCGCCCGCCCGCATTTGTCGGATGTACAGTTCACGCCATTTGTGGTCCTTGATGGAATTGTGCCTCCTCATGATCCCACCAAGATGATGAGTATCCAAATCTTTTTCCTTTTCTTTTTCGATAAACCAAATTTTAAATTGTGAATCTGTTGAAGGTGTTGAGGCAAATCATGTGCAATGAATTTACCAAATTCCAATACGTAATGCACCCACACAGAGAGAGAGAGAGAGAGAGAGAGAGAGAGAGAGAGAGAGAGAGAGAGAGAGAGAGAGAGAGAGAGAGAGAGAGACGGATATTCAGTGATCCACAATCCTACAATTTTTTTCTAACAAAAAAACAATTTATGTTACGAAAAATGAAGAAATTAGTTTCAGACAATGATTCTCTTTCTCGTTTGATTGTAGGGAAAAAAAAAATAGCTGGCGAGAATCAGATGATAGCGATGCGTAATTTTATCTGCAAATACCTAAAATCTTATTCAAACCCTTGAAAATTTTCCAGTGATTTTCGTGGGAAAATCATGAAACAAATAATAGGTTTGCTGAATGAGATTATGCAGTTGCATATATATATATATATATATATATATATGGAATAAAGGAGGAAATAACCACCAACAGAAATATGGAAAATGTACATGCCACCAAAGGACAATTTCCAGCTCGAGTAAAAGCCACAAAATAAATAAATAAAAATGTACCGAAAAATAAATAAATAAACAAATTACAATTAAATAGAGTAATAAACAACTGTTGCTTGTTGCAAATTTAGCACCTGAGCACTTTCTGTCCACATTTGAAATGACACGTCGGACCAAGAGTTGATGTGGCTTTTCTACTTAAAATACACGTTTAGTGCAAGTGAACGTGTACTGAATTAGAAAATATTTACATGAAAATATTTTAAGATAAGCATAATAATTTTATTTTAACTTTTTTAATGTTGTTGCCATTATTTCCATTATTTTAACTTTAGAATGATAATTTGCTATAAAACCAACTGTCTGGTTTTCTTATAAAACCCACAACCAATGAGAGAGCTCTCATGTGGGGCTGTCCCACATGCTCATGTGGGACAGCCCCACATTAGAGCTCTCTCATTGGTTGTGGGTTTTATAAGAAAACCAGACAGTTGGTTTTATAGCAAATTATCATTCTATACATGGTAGCATAAAAATATTGAGATGTTTGAATAAAATTATTTATTCTAGTAAATAATTAATTAATTTCAACATAAAGTTTTGTCAAAAACACATGGCGATGTGGCTAACAAATAAGAACAAAATATATAGATAAACAAAATATATATAATTCACTCTGTAAACTTAAATTTCATTTTGTATACAATTTCATTTTGTCCAGCAAATGGATTTGCCATACTCTAGAATTAAATTTCATATATACAAAAAATTTTGATTCATAAACTTATATTTCATTTTGTATATGTAAGAGAAAATTTATTTTCAGCCACAGTCGTATTAAAATTGATTAATATTAAATTTATGTGAGACAATCTATATATATATATATATATAATAAGATTTACCATTTTTAAAAAATGACAGGTCAATCTTGGTTAAATTTTATTTAGCATTAATTACTTACTATTTTTAGTAACTTATTTTACTTTTTTTGTCAAAAAAATCGGGCAGTTGCCCTTAAATTAGGTCGCATTATGGAACAACAAATACATGTGCAAAACGTCTCATTGCTAAATTTGGTCAAATTACGTGTGCAAAACGTCAATTTGATTGATTGCTCCATATTTTGTTTGTATGTATATGGATTTCCTTTTTTGTTGATTATTAAAATTTATCTAAAAATTATAAATGAAACAACTATATATACATATATATATATATATATATAATAAAAATAACCATTTACCAAAAGTAACAACAAAAAAAATCGGAAAATATTAATTACATTCATTTTTAAAAAGTTATATTCAAATTTGATTTTTTTTAAATATAACATTGTCTGATTTCGTGGGGTTTTTTTAATTAAATTTCAAAATCAACCATTAAATTTCTAAGTAATAAAAGATGGACAATTGAAATATCAAAAATCGACAAGCATCTAATTATTCCTTAAATGAAGTATTATGTAAATTTCCAGACACTTTAGTATAAGTTAAAGTGTAATTTAGTGTAATATAATTTTCCCCAGTTAAAAACAATAAATATTCATAATTTATAAAAATCTCGATTTTCATGTCATACAATACTATTTTTTTCATCTTATAAAAGTCTCAGTTTCATATAATTCAATCTATTTTTTTTTGCTTACACGGCATTGGCTTGCATTTGGTAACTTTGTCGCTGCATTTAGTAACAGAATTTAGTAAATTTATGCATGTACTTGTCAAAATATATTTTTAAGTTACAAGATACAATCGTGATCAAAAAGATATTTTTTACAATGTACCATAATTAATATGTATTTAAGATAAATATCAAAATTTGTTGAATAGCATGTAACGCCCCAAAGATTTTTAAAGACAATTCCGGACTTATCCGAAAATCTTGTTTTAAAATTTCGAAACCATTTATCAATTTACAAAACATTTGGCGCTACTCGAGAACTTTGCAAAGCTTAACACATAATCAGCATAAAGGAAACGAGAATATTCAACATAATTCAAGTTTCAAGACTAGATTTCAACATATCTAGCAATAGGATTGTCAACATAATCCAAATTGATAAAAATATTCCACATGGTTCGACAGTTAAACCAATTCCAAAAGCAATAGGGATGAATAACAAAGTCTGATAATCTCAACATAAATATCAAAGCAAGCGGAAGCAATATAAACCAATAATAATATTTGACCACCCACTCGTCTTCAGTCTCGTCATGCCCAACACGTGCTTAACCTACATCAATGAAGAGCAGGTGAGGATGAGCACAAATATAAACGAGGTGCTCACCACTATGCATAATATATTGGTAAGAATCCTATACTAGAGTCATAAGCAAGTACATGGTCAAAAGACATAATACACCACTCTCCTACTCATCACTATACTCATGTGCACACCTATCAAAAACCGCCAGGGGTAAGCCCAAACTCGTCAGCGGAAGTACAGTCGTGCCGAGGTTTAACATCAACGGTCACGGCCCATCGACTAGGCTAAAATGAGTCTACCTATCACAAGGTTGGAGATCGCCCACCACTAGGCACCGTCTCATGACTCACACATAAATTCATAGACACTCAGTATAAAATCTTACCTCAATTATAACATAGCAAATTTTAGATTAAAACTCACCTGACGTTCGGAAATGTCAAATGCAAGTGCTCACGGTAGGTTCGAGGGCTCGACTACTCGAGAACCTAAAAGTTTGGGATTTAATTATTAATAATGGTTTTTATTGGATTATTAGGCCACACAAGCAAGTAAGGCAAACGAAGTAAGTAAGGCTCAATTCGACGATGAACCACAATAAAAATAAATAAATAAATAAAAGTAAAAGAAAAAAAAAACACGTTTAAAGCACAATACAACATGCCACAACAAAGCAAAGCCATAATATCCACAACGTGTGCCTCTCTTTTTCTTTCTTAAAATTCGAATAACTCTTAAGCCTGAAACTAGCTCAAAATACAACAGATAAGAGCTCTTTTAACCTCATATTGATAGCAGGAAAGACTCAACAGAACATGGCTCGAACAATACAACAAAAATGTTCTATTTCCTTTTTAAACTTAACAAAATTTCTCCACATTTATAGACCCTTCTAAAAGCTGAAACTTGAGTTTTAAAATGTCTTAAAATTGAGCACTACAATGGCATATAAACATAAAAAGGCTCAACCAAGTATTCGCATAAAAGGTCCATAAAATTATAATAACATGCTCATCCTCTACACAACAGAAATAATCATAGTAAAAATATAACACATTCGAGCACCTCTTTTCTCAGATACTTATCACTCAACCCTGCATCCTAGTTTTCAAAAACTGAATTTCAAGCACACAGAAATTCACATATTCTTGGCTAACAAAATGACTCATTAAGCATGCCTTTAAGAAAACACTCCAGGCTGGGAGTTCTAATCCACAAACTTAGCACCATAACACCATATTTAAACATGATTATGGCATATAACAATCAGCCCAAAGTGTTTTAACACAACCAGACAAATAGGCACAAAATTCAGACAATCTCAACAACCAAAAAAAAAAAAATCGAGGGTATAGGCTCAGCCGAAAGTGATACCTCACTCGGCTAAAGCAAAGGGTAAGGACAGGGCTCTTGGTTCCCAAATCTCAGAATCGGCAGGGTTCGGCTCGCTACCGGCTCTTATCTTGGTCACAGTAAAGCCAGCCCTAAGCCGCTGGACACGATCACTATCGGTCAGGTGTTGTCTCGCCGAGAATCTGGTCCCGACCCGCGTGTTCGGCTCGTTCCAGTCGGGATGTTGCTGCTCGGGAAGAAACCAACAGGGAGATGACTGCTCGAGAACCTGTCGGAATGAGCAATCTATGTTCGCTGAAAATGAGCCAATTTTTCGCTGACTCGAGGTCTCCGTTGGCTTGATAAGGCATCGAACAACTGCCGCTGTTCTCACACGAGAACCGAAAGGGCTGCAGGTGCTGCTTGGGCCCTAGACGAAAGCCGACGGGATGCCGCTGATATGCTTGAAAATCGCTTGGCTAAGAACAGGGCTTGCTGCTAGCCACGCACGGCTGTAGAAAGAAAATCGAACAGGGGCTGCTTCTCTGATGGCGATGGCGGCTGCTCGATGACTACTGGCAAATTTCTCTCTCGGGCACGACATGAAAGTGGACGCCGGACGGAGTTGCTGCTCCACGGTGGTGCATACCGACGCGAATTGACACACAACAGCTGTAAATCACGGAAGATGGAAAGAAATCTGCCGCTGCAACTCGCCGGTCGGAAAGCACGAGGGATGTTCGAATCGCCGTTTAGCCGCTGCCCACGGTCGACGGCCTTTTGTCACAAATTCGTCGTTCACCTGCCTTGCGTTGCCGGTTATCTGCCGGCCGAAAGGAATTTCTGAGGAAGGTGGGATGGCGGCTCAATCGAGAGAGGAGATGCGGCGA